ACGGCCCCATCTCCAGTGGGGGTTCCAGATAGTCCTAATATGAAGCCAACCAGCATCGTTGTGCTCTTTAAGTGCGTAGTGACTCACGCAGACGCCTTCAAGTCATTTAGCTTTGGATTTTCGCAACCTGAATAGATATAGGCTGTTTATATGGTACACTACTTATTAACGCTATCTCTTACCTTCCTAATTACATCTAAAGTGCGCATACATGTCGGTATTCGATTCTTCTTGTCAGATATCCGGTTGATTTCAGAGCTCCAAGATTGCTGTAATAAATTAATAATGTATACTTCGAATAGTGAATGAAACGAACACATGCCACTTTTACGAGCACTACCTGAATGCTATTGTCCTCAGAGAAGCCGAAAAAATCCAGAAGGAATGGACCTTTACGCCGTATGTAGTCACCCAGAGGATACAACTGTTCGGATGTAACTGGTCAACAAATATCAAGTAAAGACTATTCTGCTACACAACGGTAGTTGGAGGTAATACGTGTGTCATCACTCCGCATGAGCAGTGTCCTGGCTACAGGGGGTCTCATATTCAGCAGGAGTACATGACACATCAGACGCTGAGCATAAATAAAGCTGAAAGTACTTAATAAATTTGTGCTGCCTACAAAAACTAAATTTAATTACTGAGAAAAATGCAGAGGAAAGTTTGAAACTGGTGTTGTATGGGGTCATGCAGTATGTCAGGACTGTTTCGTTCTATGTAGTTGTGAACAGAGTCATCTGAATAAATTAAGAGAAGGATGTAATCCGATTCGGCAAGCGTCGGCACACTACGACCGATGATACATAGGGTTTTGTCATTAAGCTATCCAATATGCCTCCAAGGCCAGCGCTTCACATGAGGTCACTTTCGGCTCGCCTCTTTACCGAACTAGTGTTTGTCAAGAGTTGAAGGACCTGGATATTTGGTTACAAACGACGCTTACTGTCAACACTTCTAGGTGAAATTCCAATTCAAGGAGTAAATTCTGGCCAGGGTGACAAAATAACCGTTATGTGGTTGTTTCATTGTGTACTTATCTTTCAGAAAGGAAAAGAAATGCAGTTATAAGCGGATATGGAACAACTTGTAGTTTGCCTAAGTCGATGAGTGATAAAACTTGAACAAAAAGATCAAGGTAAAGGAACTCAGATACAGATGTGAGAGTTGTTGCACGAGTTTGTCTATCTTATCCATAACCAAGCATAGTGGTTCAGTAGTCAGCAGCTTTTAGCTGTGCAATCACAGTGTGAGGGGACGGAAGTTGGTCCAGAGGAATATCGAACAGTGATATTTTAATCATGAAAGACACTGGTTATCTGATAGTAACCAACTATGATAAGTAACCTCGCTCTAAACGGTTGCAGTCATGTTTCAGGGAGCTGCCTTTTGTGCATTGGACATACGACAAAATCAAAGTATAGCACTGGAACTACTTTTGTCCACATGCAATAACTGCATTTTCCGCCTTAGATCTCGCACCAAACATTAGCCATAGAAGTTAAAGTAGATTCGCTGGTCAGCAGCTTCAAAGATGCTATTTCTCACATCTCCTATTTCCGCAGTAATTACATCAACCAGGAACACTCCAGAATATTACTTAATAAACAGCGATTTTAGGACCTCAGCAATATATTAAGGTTGCAAGACAGCTAAGAGTTAACTTTTGAAGCTTCCTCATTTGAACTCATTTCCTGGTGCTGCATCTCCGTTCCTATCTAAAGCGCCCAAGTGTAAGTCTCGTCATAGAACAAATCGGCAGCAAATCACTTCTATGACAGATGTATTTGAAAGCTTTACGTCAGTACCATTGCTGAGGATCATGTTTAATTTGCAGCCAGAGTGAAGGAGGTAGAGTTATTTTCTTGGGTATGAAATTTTGCTATGGCCTCTAGGCGCAAGTTTCTTTGTATTTCTAGTCATAATCTGGCAGGGGTTGGTGAGTTTAGTTAGTTAACGAGTCATAATCAACCAGGCAGGTCTTGCATCACGAAAATGTCTACATAGAAGATCAGTCATTGATGATGCTATAACAGTTTGCTCAAAGCGCTAACGTTTGACCGTTACGGAATCAAAAACGTTTCTCAGTTTTGCAAACAATTCTCATGAACAAGAGTTCAATGGGATGACAAATTCACTGATGCGATTTATTGAGTGTACTTGGAGACAACATAGGTGATGAAAGCACTGGCACTGAAGTCAAGGAAAAGCACCAAGACCACGAAGTTCACTTCAGCCGTGGACATCGACACCAGTAAGAACATGTGTTACCAAGCGGTTATGTGATCTACTGCTGTGACATTCTGATTTTGACAGTCTCCATGGTGCAGCCGACACTTGCAGTGCTAAAAGTGACAATCCTCCTGGGCATGACGTGTACGCTCACCAGTGATTTTTCCTTCCATTTCTACTCACAGAGCCGATGTCACTCTCTGCCCATCATCGTCAGCTGTTAGCTTTAAATATTTTGGTATAACTCTCCAATCTAGATTCCCATAAAGCTGTAGCGTACACGGCATATAACGACCAGTTTACCAGAGCTCTGTTTGCTACCTCATGGATTAACGGTGGTGGAACAGTGGGAAGAACTGCATATAGAACTTAACGCACTCGTGCAAGGCAAAGAGGCACAGCAGAAGTACGCTGTGGCTGCTCGGTCTGACCCAATGTGTTAAACTCGCAGTTGTGTCATTCTGCTGGCCTGTATTCTGAATACAGCTTGAACGCAATTAGAGATAACGCCGCATTTCTTATGAGACACAGTGCTGTCACCCCCTAGACTGACGCTTGTACATAACCTTTTGTTGAATGAGTCAAAGTTTTATAGTTTAAGAAGATTTATGGTTTGTAGCCAACTGATGACGGTGAAATTTTCTGGGGTAGCAACATGTGCTGGCCGGGAAAAGCTCTTCCTTTCCATTCACTAAAATTCAAACATAACTTTAGCACCCTACAGAACCTTCATTGTCATGACCTACAGTGAAACTGTTTCCAACCTGTGAAAATTCTACCTTGCTATGATGGTTCACAATGGACTTGACAAACAGCGTTATGGCTCGGAAGCTGTGCCTCACCAACTGTCCCACGGAAGTATTGTGCATTTGCCTGTCACGTACAGTCGAGGGACGTGGATGTCGTGTAATCATAGCTATTAGTACAAAAAACCGTAGGCGGGAAGGGGGCGACGGCACCTGTCCATGAAGGCTGTTAACGTAAAAGCATGAGCCTCACCGCTTTCAAGGGAGCTATGATGTTAAGCTACTGCAACCCTGAACATATAGCACCGAAATGCAAAAAATCCGGCCTGTGCTGGGTAATAGAAACTGTAGCTCAGCTTGTTTGACAATCATCTGAAAACTCCAGCCCCATCCTTGCTTTTGGTAAGGGCTGAATACCGTCTGCTTAAGTTTCTGCATGGCTGCATTATCGATAAATTCTGTGTGATTCTGTGCTTGCTTTTTATTTTGTTCACTAACTCAAGCTTCTTCAGAGAATCGTCTTCAAAACCCCCAGTAAATCCAAAGTTTAGCTCAAAAGTAAACCACTGTAGTGGATCGCAATTCCGCTTCTTAGTTTCAAGGAGTATCACGACATAAAACAGTGGTGTTTGCAGGATAAATTGCGTCCAACATGCTGCACTAATTAAAGACGTATTGTACGAACTAAAAGGAAGTTTCCAACCGTCTCTATCACGGCCATGTTCCTTTTTCCTGCTCGACACCCAATATCAACAAAATCGTCGAGAAATTTGTTGTGTTTTCTCTCCCAGGTTCCAAGAAATGAGAAAATAAATACAAAGACGCAACGGCAGTTTCTTATAGGATAATGCCTGAAATCGTCCATTATACTCCTATCGCTACCCTAATTTCCTTCCATTTCCTCGATCTTTGACGACATCACTCTGTGGGTTAACGACTCACTTGTCTTACTGCGACAAATTCCTTGAGATGACGCACATACGGCCAAATAAGGCTAATATAAAGTTGTTCCGAAAACGTTTTACCTAAGAACTTTGTATGACTGCTGAGAATATACCCGTCTATGTTACAGGGGAAATTGATAAACTTAATGGCATATTATCACAGACGTTCAATTTGAGTGAGCTGAATAGCTTACTTTATATTTCTCAAATGACTCGTTCACGCATAGCTTAAATGAAACCTTGACATCAACAAATTGTAGAGTCAGCAGTGGAAACATTTCGAAAATAACATCTTCAACATACAGTGGTATCTCACTGGCGCAAAACGGCTACTGGTAATCCACTTAATAGCTTAGTCATGCAAGAATCAGTTCAGTAATAGGCCCCAAAGTACCACCTATGTTTGAAGTTATTGCACAGAACAACTTTTGAAGGCTAATTATCTACGAGTGTGCCGGTTTTTTCAAAGTTGATAAAATGGCTCCTGAAAGGATGCATCAAAACATTTTTTGACGGAAACAAGCAATATGAAGTCCCAGAAAACATGATTACGAGCCAAACATACTTGTTGTCGTAATGCAAAGCTGTAAGCAAGTGTCATAGCACTGGCCGAAAGATTTCTAGTCATTCTGAACTGTTTTACGAAGCATTCTCTCAAGCTCCACGGTTGCCACAGCCCGCCAGCTAGTTCTTTACTGAGACAAACACAAGAACATAAGAATTTGCAAGATAATGAATAGGACCAAGTTCAAGATGTGAAAGTTCACGTCCTTAATTTTTCGAAAATCTCACTTGGTGTAATCTGGTATTCTTCCAGTCAACAAACACTCCTTATCCCGCTTAATTCCCAGACATGTAGTGCTACATAGAACTATCAAACTAAGCACCTTACGGGCTATTAGTAGTCTAGTGGACGAAATAGGTAGCGTGTAGTACTCCTCAGATACTTTTATGTGCCCTAGAATCATCAAAATTATTTCACAATCATGTCTTTTGTTTGTGTTCACCACTTGAAGGTAACATGTTGAAGGCCATCGCAACTACAATTAGACAGTTTTTTAAAATGCACAACTATGCAATGGAATCTCATTACTATATTTCAGATGATAGAAACAGTAGAAACAACCCATTTTCTCTCTTAACAAGGTATCAACGTATGTGTTTTATGACATTGCAATTCTATGTTATAGGAAGAGATGGAAATCCATAAAAAACAAAATATTGAATCTTAATTTGTCTGGTCCCTATGAAAATGTTCCCCGCCCAATAAGAAGCCGAATATTTGGATATAATTTTCACAGACGTTCTTCTTGTTTCCCAGCTGGAAGAGTTGAGCAAGTAATAACATATTTTCCGATTCACTAGAAACTTTTTTATGATTCAGTTACCAGTAATCAGTTCTCATAATTTAAATTAGTGGCTTACTTCACTCTCTTTTGCCCAAAGTTTTATGGCGATTCTAAAAGTTAGGAAGTTCGAGCGCAGTCCTGATCTAGTCTTACAAAATCACATAGAGGCAATAAAATGACTGAATGGGGAAATAATTAAACAATTCATCCTAATGCAAGCTTCGACTGCAACGTATGAAAAGGCATCAACTTACCAAGTAGATATGATGTATTTATTTGGAAGCTTCAACACATTAAAAACACTTAAAATTTGCTCAATAATTAGCAAATTATCACATTAACTGCAGTAGTTCAATGTATTTTCAGTATTCAGAACATAGATTTTTTCATTGTTCCCTTTTTTGTTTTTCTATTTTTATTAGTTTGGGGAGATTCATCTCTGTTCAGGGGACTAGGCAAAGAATACCAGTTGGTCTTTGAGACTTAACCTGTATTAAGTTAGGTGAAGCGGATATGTGCCGCGCATACCTACTCACAGCTTACCTGAATGGTTTGTAGCGTCACACACTTCCCCAAAATCAATAACCTAGGGTTGACGACTTTCGACATTGATGCTGACCTTGATAGTTTAACTGGACTCGCTAAGCTGAAGGCACCCTGTCAAGCATCCTCACCACTTGGCACGCTGTCGTGTTACGTTGCACTGCTCGTATTCGACTCCCTAGCATCGGTATTTTGGCACAACCATCCAAATATACTATTCCATCCAACTACGCTATCGTGTTCTTCCTTGGTCTCGTATTCGTGGATATATATAAGAAGTCCGAATAATTAGTGATTGGTCTTTGCGTCTGTCAAGTTCGCAACAGGACAAATCCTAAAGGTTGATATTAACTGGAGCAGGATTAAGTCTGAAAAAGCCAAGGTGTGATACCATTATATGAAACCCTTTTCTGCTGGTTTTATTCTCGTAAAGAAATTAAGCCTTCCGATTTACGTTTATCAGATAACGGTAGTCAAAGCTCGGAGATTCGTGAAGGCGTCATTCAAATCCAATGTACTCACATTAATAATTTTAGAAATCTGCACATTTCGCTGGTCTTCATTTGTTTGTTGTTGTTCCTCTTATATACTTTTAACAGCCTAAAGGTGATTCTTTCCTCATCCCCTTCATCAATACTTGCTGTTAGGGAGTTTAGCTACTTGAACTGCAGCATCTCTATTCTAGGCTGTCTGTTGACTTATGAATCTAACTCTTTTTGTGATGTGAGATGATGAGCGCCAATATTTACGTACTGCAAATAATGGATTTAATTGTCGGGTTCTTAACAGATACACTAGAATATGTTCAAACATATATGGTTGTGAAGGTGAATATTTAGATCATAGGGAGTAAGTCGAGGGCAGGTTTATTTCCTAAGCATTATGGAGTCAATCTCTGAAAGACTATATGTACCATGAATTTAGTTATTACACTGTTACCGAAAACACAACGGCCTACAAATAAGTAGTAGATTGTTTATTTGATATTGCACACAGTGACACAAAATAATTTACTGGATGACATTTGAAAGTCGAACAATTACTTTGGTGTGAATATGAGCAATAAATTCTGCTTAAAACGTCATCCATCAGGTAGTTCTGTGTCACTGTGTGCTATATCGAATAAACGACCTTATTTAAAATTACACTTTACCGCGGTGCCAAGGTTTTTCTGGCATTAATTAAGATAGCTCTTCAGCACAGCAGTTCCAAAGAATGATCCAATCTGTTCGACATTTATCTAAAATAAAACAAAAAATACCTCCACGAAATTTGATGTAGCACGCAAAAATATGGTATTGATTGCTAGATGACATAATGATAACAAACTACTTCACATAATCACATTATTCTGAGAAATGACTGAGCAGTCTTTAAATAGTTCTCTGACCACATAACAAGAGTCAGCACTTACTTTTGGGCAGTACATTTTAACCACATGTCTATAATCACAGCTGGGTTTCCACAAAAGCATACTGGTTCAAAGCTATAGGAAGTTCTTCATTTGTTACATAAGTTTGAGAGAGAACCAATTCAGTAGACTGATGGACAGTATTTTTGAATGATCATTGGAAATGACATTCATCCTTCCATGCTAGGTTGCTATTTGGTTCATAAGAGTTCTGTTTTCATACTGGTACTGATTAACTGGGAAGGGAAGGTAGGGGATGTGGAATACAGCATTAACTTTCTTTCCTAAAAGCATTAAATTAGAGTGCTGAGCTTAAAATGTAAGACCCTTGTTTGAACGAACCAATGATGACTCCCGTTATCTGATTAACTGAAATGCTATGGTAGATGTATATTTACTCCATCTAGTTTAATATTTCTTTCGAAGTAAAGATACTTTCTCACAAGAAATCGCCTTACTGATCTACAAGTTTGTAAAAGTGAGTGAAATTCATCACTTGTCATGCATCATATGAACGTTATCATTTAGTGTCAGAGATGTCGGTAAGTAATCGAAATGGCGATAAACATATTTGTATAATTTTAAAATGACTTAAATGTTTGCTGAAATGTTCTAAATGTTGATTTCCTGTTAGTTTGCTTGTTTCTTAATCTCATTTAATTTGTTTTCTTCGGAGATCGTTTATTTATCTGGAGAAAATGACCGCGTCATACTCGTAACAAACTCTATGATCAAACTGTATGACTTGACAGATTTTACTTTAATCAATGAAAAAATGATACCAGTAGAGAACACAAACGGTAATTATTATTTGTTTGATTACGCATATCACAAACTGTTGTTACCGTCAAATAAAAACTAAATCATTTTGAATGCTTGATGCTCGCTAAAACAGCGCATACTGTAAACTGATCTAAGTTATATGGATTCATTTTATTTCAGTGGATCCCTGTTGAAATTTTACTGCATAAAACTTATAGCCAAGTGTTCGCGCACTATAACAGAAGGTCAGGAACCGTTTAGGAGATGCAGCTAGCATTAGTTATACTGACTTAATAAAACTCAAGAAACTAAATCCTAAGGATGCGATAACAAAGTAATTCGTTACTATCTATTAATTCACGAATCATGATGTGTAATTTGAAAAGTTGGATTATAGAATAGTGGAGTGGAACCGTATCTTTCAGAACATTCTACTCAACAACTTGAGTAGTGGTAAACCATTCAATCGGATATGCTGATTAAGTCTGGAAAATAATAATAATCTAAACACCAGATGGTCGTTTCTCTCATTTGGGACCGAGCCCATCAGCGATGTATCCATAAAAATTCGGCTCACAGAAATTGTTCAGATCAACTGAATATGGCTAGTGAACCCGTATAAAATGGCATACCATAAATATAACAATTAAGTTTTCAATGATTGCATGGTTCACTTTGACATTTATCACGGTTGACTAGTTTATCAACTGCTCAACTGTGGTGTCAACACGGTTTTATTTGAAAATCAGCCGAAATCACAAGGTGTGATCTCTGACACAGAAGTGTCATGAACAAATAGAATATGCTATTGAACTCCCTTAAACAAGCGGAACGGGCATATGGTGTTTAGTTCACTCAGACTTGGCTAGTGAAATCTGAAGATCAGTCCGGTTGTTTTCTAACTACTTAAGTTGTTCAGTAGCATATTTCGTCCTTGCATGACGTTTTTATGTCAAAGATCACGCCTTATGACTTTGGCTGACGAGTGGTTTCCAGCAAAAATTCTGATTAAAAATGTCAGCGTGTACCATGCAATTTGGTTTCTTTAAGGGAACCTTCACATTCAAAAATGAATAAGACATGTGCATCAGAGTGTGATGAAATGTCCTGAGTAATATGATAAGATCTGTTCCGAAGAATTAATAGCCTGAAGTTCCATGTGTATCCAACACTATGACAACCTCTTAACTATATCATAGGTGGTGAGATATGAATACCCCAAAGTCCTTTAAAATGTTCATAAGTATGACTTCATCACTCTAACAACCTGGTCGTGACTATACAACTGAAACAAAGCCTGAGCTTGAGAAGGGACTGTTATCAGCTTAACAATACCCTGAATTATGACGAGGTTTCATAGCTGCGTCATTTTTATTTGACTTCCCCATCGATAGTATTCTTCGTATTTTTCTGAAATTGCGTGATGGTACAGTAAATCTACTGAAAAGAGAAAGACTTGAGTAAATAAAATGTGTATGTTATAGAATAAGAGTGTAAGATCGGTAGGAAATTCAATTCCACTCATTCCTAGAAGAATGCCATTGAAATATGTTTGTAAAGCTTGTAAATCTGGACATTTGTATAAGTTCTGATGGATATTTAATGGACCCGATTTCCAACGATATATCGAAAACCAAAGTAACTTTTGGTACTCCTGTAATATTATGTTGGCTGAAAAACGCTTGATACACAATGCTTCGTTGTCAAACCCAGCCTTTCCAAACCAAAGGTACCTAAAGATTCTGTTTACCTGATCGCCATTATTCCCTCAGCATTCCCCATTTTATATCAACAGGGTATGTAATTCCAAATTTCAATGATACATATTTGAAAATCATGCAAATCGTAATCTACTGAGTGACTTCAACATAAAAAACCCATGGCCTTGAGTTATACATACGTTTCACCCTAGCTGCTTCCTTATCGCTTACTGTTTCAATCCTTCAACTGAGTGGAAGCTGGTTAGTTAGTGTCATGAAGTTGCGGAATGAATTTTATTTGCATTCGGTTGGCATTAATGAATAAATCGTGACTCTCTGGATGACGTTCAAATTGTCGTGAAATTCAGTGACTAGAAACAAATTAAACATGATTCATAACTGGAATTAGTCGGGACCATGTTATTATTTTGTGACAGTCTAATTCTCCAATCAATGTGTTATTCGTGGTCTTTTCTGTGATAATGTTGTTGTAGGTTCTTATGTGGCATATTTCTTGACACCTGTATTGTACCAAGTTAGCATTTTGAACATTAAATAACCAAATTGCAATAACCCAATTTTTTTAGTAATTGCCGTTGCATAATACCTGGCGTTACTTCAATACTTGGGGATTTTATACTTCTTTCAGATAGGAAGCTTCTTTGTGCTTTCAGCACACTAAATTCAGTCGTCAGCTTTGCATTCCAGTTTACTTGTCTGCCGTCACTTTTACTTTCAATATCGTATACCTTGACTAAAGCATGTAGATATTAAATGCACGTCGCGTCATTTCGGTTCTCTAAAGGGATAAAAAGTTGACATCAGTACCGAAAGTTTAAATGAATCAATATCATCCTACTCAGTTATTTGCTCTTATGCATGTCTTAATTTGTTATTTCTCTTTATCAGATCGAAATGCCAGACCACTTTACAATCGACTATCTTATGCAGCAAAAATGAATGTTCTTATTGGTTGGAAACCAGGTGGAAATACTTTATTTCCCCTGTCTTGCGAAAATTTTCAAGTGAGTTATTAATAGAAAAAAGATGGAATATTTTTCATCGGTAACTTCTTTTTTTCATTCCGACGCTTGTTTTATTTCATGAAAACAGTCAGTTTACGACTTGGGATATAACTGTCGCCTTTTCATCTCTTGAGTTTCATGGAAGTGAGCTAGCCTGAATAGCCAAGTGAACTGAACATTTACGCTAAGATTTTTTGAATAAATTATCGACAATACGTACATGGTTTACATTCAGCGAAAATTAACTGCTTTCTAATAATTGGAGGTATTGATTTCAAATACACTTTCGTCTGTATTCACATGAGTTCCGTTGATCAGATGGGTGTAAGGACCTTCAAGTGTCACAGTAACATTTTGAATCCCGTTAACTTCAAATCTCATTGCAATCGCCAGCTACTAAAGTGATGATTGATAGTTCCTGACTGTCAATTAATGACGAACTGTTTTAACAGAGCTTATGCGAAATCAAAATTTTATTTTTTTGGGCTTTTTATTCATTATCTTACAAAATTTCCATAGTTAGGGGATTTGGAATTCTTTATTTGTTCAACTACACCCGTTCGCTTTAATTATGTCTGAAGTGTGCTTATGCTCTTCGCAGCAACGAGATATCACTATCGAAAAAATTTATTTGTTTTTAGAATATTGGGTTCCCATCTGCAACTAGAAATCCTTTAATTGGTTATTCTCTAACCTTGATTCGGGAAGTGTTGTTTCATTGGAACTGATGTCATCTGCTTCCCTTTCAAACGACCCGTCTGGAATTATATTTTCAAGACACTGGCAATTTCATTTCACTGATACTAAACTTGTTCCTGACAAGTACGTACCAATTCTAATGTTACAAAGTTGTGTTCCGTCCAAACGATCTCCTGAATATACCAAAGAAATGTCTATACAAATTATTTCATGTCCATTACTTCGAAAACTTCTAGAGACATACGAATTTCCATCGAAATTAATCAGTTTTGAAGAAAATAGTAGAAATCAGAATCTTCGTTTATTACTTGGTTGGAAGTACTCAGCTTGGTTGCGATGCATACCGTATGATAAACATTTCAGTTCTAAACATTACGGAAGTAATTCTGACGATGATAACAACAACATAGTGGAATCAATCCATTTGCAAATGTTTCAACAAACCGGCATAAAGCATAATTCTCAGATTACATCCGTTTTATTTTTCAGTCCATTAGAAATCTTGATAACTGGTGATGTATGTGGAACAATAAAGGTAAGTGTTTATATAGGAGGTGTAGTGGATTTCAAAAGTATTTAAATGAGGTAGCATTCATTACGGACTGACATCAGTAGTAAAGCATTCGGAAACCTAGAAGCACTGAGGAGCTGTTTCGTCCTAGCATAGGACTGCAGCAGTGAGCACCCTCTACCGATGGAACTCAGGACCTTCAGGTCTCGAAGCTAACTCTCTTACTGGGCCTGAGTTTAATGGTCCACAGCTTCTTACCGGTTTCATATTGTCTAGTCCTAAATCCTTATCGAATCCTAAATATCATTTTGAAATGCTGTCACTTGTGATCTGTATAGCTCAATGATAACTTGTTCCTGAAGTTAATGCTGGTGATATTGTCTAGAATGACAATGAAGCTCAGAGAACACAAAACGATCAAAGGTCCAGAGCTTCCTGTTCATGGCTTTTGAACAACATGTAATAAGTGACTACAGAAGCGAGTACGTAGGTTTAAATCTCTGTGGTAGTTGCTTTCCAACAGATCATGAAGATCAGACCAGTTGACTTGTGCTAAAAAGGAGAAACCTAAAGCCACAGTTTCCTGATGATTGCTTCAAGACACTTTGTACTGAACAAGGAATATAGCAATGGACATTTGGGCATTATACATATGTATTTGTAAACGTTTCTTTCATACAAAGTTAAACAGGTTTCCAGCATACTAAGTGCCTAACATTCTACACACAGTGATATATAATGTCACACAAACTGAAAGACTACACGCCTAAGAAAACACGAAATAGCTTTTTCAACGGCACTGCCTGAATGACATAGATAGTTATGAAAAGAATTTGATAGACCAAAAAGTAAAAGATTATGCATGTATCAGATTATTTAGTTTGCTGGTGTTCTAATACTTAAAGTAAGTCCTCATCTACTGAGGTAAATTTTAAAACAAAAAGACTTATTTTAATTCGAATTTCTAAAATAAATCTTCGACCACACACAAAGCCAACTGTTGAAAAGAAATTTGTAGCTATCCTTAATATCTTACTGATGTTTACTCACATTCAGGTGCCATTTTTAATTATTTTGTGTTACTGACTTAGCAATTCTTGAGTAAACTTTAAAACTTAGTATGTTAGTGCTGTTGAATCAAGCGAAAATTATACAGTTAAACAGTAATTCTTCATTTTTACGCATTGTTTCCACCCTAGCTAATACTTGCTTCATAGACATCCACACAAACCCCTGCAAACGCCCTCAACCAACCCAACAACAAACAAATTACGTAGCAGTTTTGAGTCAATCAGCTTGGTGAACCTAGTACAAGTTTTATCCGTAGAATTTATTAGGTCATCAAGACCATGTAATACTAAATTGAGTAATCAGTATACAGTTTGATTAGGTAATCCATAAGCTCAATAATAATATTTAATTATTCCACAAAAATATTTTAGTCGACAAACTCAATTGCTGGACACTATCCACACTGACCTACATGCAACGTCTGAAAAATCACAGCAGTTTAAACACATGGAAAATTATAAGCAAATTATTTATTGGGTTTTGTTTCTTTATAGACATTTACATCCAGGTGATTATATCCCAACATTATGAGCAACTCAGCTTTTTACACACGCTGCTGTCGTTTAGTTTTCAAATGATTTTACTCTCCATTGAAACCCAATTATATTCGTAAATAGCTGTCAACAGGCTACACCATTCAGGAGTTTATAACATCTGTTTGTCAGAGATCACTGTCTATCCTCTTGAATATATAGATAAGGACGGCAATGGTGATGAAAACTGTGGAGTGTGAATAAACTGCATATTATTCAAATGTGGTAATTGGTTGATTACATTATTTTACAACTTATATTAAACAACCACTGTATCTTAACCAGATAGAATATAAGCTTGTGTTATTTCTGCTCAATTCTGCTGACATAATAAATAAGTGATGATTCTAAAATTCTCATTTTCAGACTTGGAACACCGATCAAGTTCAGTTGGCAATATTTCAAAGTCACTCAGGGGAGATTTCTTATTTTTCTACGCATAGATGGGATTTGGTAAAACCACATAAATTTCACTCTATATCACCAAGTTTTGTTTCAGTAAGCAGAGATGGTATGATCAAGTGTTGGCAGTTTTGGCAATCGAAATGCATTTACCAAAACTCTAATAACACAATAAAAATGCCATCAGTTAATAACTTCAAGAGGAGTAGTATGATGGAAGTGGACAGCCGACAGGCACTTATGAATTTATATTCAAATTTGTTATCTCAGAACACTCTTTCAATAAATCAGATTCATGAAGTTCATGACGTGTTGGTAAAACCACATAGTGGTAATATTGTTTTGATAGGTGTCAGAAAAGTTGCTGAGACACAAACAACACAGGAGGAAGGTCACGAGGAATACTACATAGAACACTGGAAGCTATCTGAAGTAAAATGAATTCCAACATATTCTTAAATTTGTAGTATTTCCAACATTTATTTTCTATAGACATGTATACAGTCAGAAATACCTTGAGTAGGAAATTATTCATGTTTACATGTGTATGTTACTGAGTTTTGCACTTCATGACTGTTAAATTATTAACTTCATCAGTTTTCTATAAATTTCGCAATGTAGTTAACTATTGGAAGAGAGCACAAAATCTCCCGCAAAGTTCAAAAATCAGAGGATGAAATGAGTGATTACGATGCTTTCTAGAAATCCGGAAAGTTTGATTGGCTTATCATACAGAATAACGGCTGTTTAGAACGGTCTTTCTACAGCACTCTGAAAGCTTCGTATTGAATATATTAATCACATGCCTAATTCTTAATTATAAAAGTAAACTAACACCAGTCAAATTTTAGGGGTCCAGATAGAAGAAAATCAAACAGACAACCTAAAACCTGACATAATAATCCGTCTGCTAAAGTCACCACACTCAACATCAGCACATCTAGGATAAGATAGTCAATGAAATAGAAAAAAATTGATGAAGGAAATATTATCTTTCATCATGACATTTGACAAAATACCAAGGAAAGGAAATAAGTTAATTAAGGACAAAAGACTAATATTTTCGAAATTTAAATAAGAATAAAATGTAAATGTATCTCTGCCGAAGAGACAAACACTTCGTTTTAAATCCCTTAATTAGGTAATGTACTTTATACGAAACTTGGTGAATCACTGGTACTAGTTAATTCATCTTAGAACCTAATTTTAAATTTTATTAAGCTGAAAAATAAAAAGGATAGGATAAAAAGTGAGTAACTGAGCAATGAGCTGTATAAACAGAGAACTTACCAAGATTGACGTATGATTTCCACCGTTTCACACTGTGGAATACACCTCACAATGTGTCAAGTCATTAAGTGGCGTACTTTCTTGAACCTCATCCAGGAGTCTTGAGCCTACAACAGATGGTGGTTCAACAAAAATATCTCTAATTCAACGGTACCGTATGAAAAATTAATCACTTCTCCGCATCTCCTCAAACGGTCTCATTGTTGGTATAGAAGCGATCACAAAATTCCGGACCTTCCCAGGTTATATTTCCAGGTAAAATCACTCGATGAATGATGATCTCTGCCATAATTAAAGACGCACTAACTGACCTCAGAATTATAAACATAGTGTTACCGTTGGATAGCATCAATCCTACAGAGATAATGGTAGTCGAACACACGGCCTTCAAACATGCTCACCTTGAGGATGCCAGTTTTTACATGTGTGCAGTAGAACTTCCTTCACCGACACGTCCTATAGGAGATCTGCTACAGCCAGGCTAACAATAAGATAGCGTCAAAAATGACTCAGATTGGGGCATGTTATTCTGTTGGAAATCTAGTCAATTACACCTTCATCAATACACCCAAATACAAAACACATAAACTTAGCGACTGCTTCGATTGTCTCATCGCCAAGACTGAGTGCAGGTTCAAGCTGCTTCCAACCATGTAAAACTAATTGGTCTGTGCTGAGCACCTGACATACCTACAAAGACTGGTCACCAACCAACTAAATGCCGCTTTTATAATCGGTGCCGTTGCAAAGTATGAAGATATCGTCCACATACTCAAAGATATGAAGTCCTACTCATGGTGGCAGATCTGCGGCACCGTCAAGTCCTCTTACTAAACAGGTTTGAATGTCACTAATAAAAAAAGTTAAAAAGAAATGGTGACTTCTTGTATGGAAAAGAAATGAAGGACCTTCAATATGTGCATGAACTTCTCGGATACCCTCATTAATAGACAGTTGCACAGCCTTGTCATATCCAATAAAAAGAAAGCAACGGTGATATCATGAAATGCAATGATTGTTAGGCTGCAAGAGGTATGACAACGTTTGAGTGGACACGTGTTTAGAGCATTCACCACTTAAATGTAAACCAGTTTGTTTCTCAGGCGCTTTGACGATCTTATGAAGTGTGATAACAGCCAATATTGTAAGAGCTACTTGTGGTAGACTTATGCTCAGATTTTTGTCAGGCACATTAGGTAAACCTTACTCAGGTAGCGAACAGTAATGGTCTAATTTCAGAATGATCGAATATTCTCAGTCTGACACGCTTTCTTAAATGATGTATTCAGATTTATTATTGCTTGAAGTTCTTTCTAGACTACCACTTCTTCTAGTGAGTTAGAGCTTGACGATCACGAAGCATAAGAAACTGAAGTTAAAGTCGATAGTGTAGTATACTGACCAATCTTCTTTTGCAAGTGCTCTGTCCAGCATTTCAGACGCCTTTCAAAGTTGTTGATCAGTGTACTACCCCACTCATAGACAGTTTCGCTGATGTGAGGTTTCCTGCTGCTGGTCATTTAGGTGGGCTGAAACAGCTCCTAACTATCGCTAGGTCTATCTACTAATTCAGTTTTACTTAAAACTTCTGACTAGCAAGTCTCGAGGTCCTTACGCTAATACTATATCTTCAGCTATTACCACGACACATTAGTACATGTCATTAAGGAGGTAAATCATACCTGAAGTTTCTCATTTACAGTTTTATTCTAGTCACTGAAAGCTGCATTTTCCCTTATGTGAAATCCTCACTTCAAGCATTAGTTGCTTAAGATTTTGAGGATACAAATGAAAATCAACCTGAAGTCTTGTAGACTTCAAACTTACTTAAGTTCCTCAGAGTCACCAAAGAAATTTGGCACGCCCCCTATCCCGTTGTAAATTCCAAATGAATCTTAGTGGTCAGTACTATGATCTTCAGTAGCCAATCGGTCAGCTCTTTTTTATCTTTATCCGGTGACTTAGAGGAAATTCAACACAAGAAGATACGTCACTAGGGCCATTGATCATATAAAATTTTAATTAATGGACTTCAACACTGAATTGAGCTGTTAGCAAGTTTGTGTACTTAAAACTTGATCCAGGTAGCAAACTTTTTCGAACTAGCTGTACGTCCTAGGCAATGACTGTTCTCTGTGTGACTGGATCAATTTTCAGTGAATAACATTGATTTAAAACTACTTATATCACTAACTGAATACTCAAATGTCTGCTAACTGTATTTTTCCTTCACCACATAGCCGTGTTCCCCATTAGCAGAATTTCCACAAGTAGTTAAACATATTTCATTGGTGGAGCTAGACGATTTGTATGATGTGGATACTTTGGAAGCACACCCAGCTGACAGTTATGACATATATCAGAAACAGAAGTCAAATGGTGTAGCAATTATTATTTGTGATGGAAAGCCAGGGAGCATACACCTAATTTCTACATTAAATGGTTCTATTATGACAACAGCAGTATGTGAGGATTCCGTTGAAGATGCTGCATGGCATTGGATAATGGAAAAGTTGTACGTTTTGCAAAAGGTAAGCTTACCCTTTTAACTTCTTTTTAAAAATTCATATATCATATTTTTAAAGCATTCTGAATCTGTAGATTCAAAAATATCTTAATACAGGCTAATTGTTTTACAAACAGATAAACACATAAAATGATATAATAACTACATCTCTACAAGTGTGATTAGTTTGTGAGCCATAATCATTGACCTCTTTTGTCGTAGAAGTGCAGTCAGATAACATTTAATTTCTGAAACAACTCAGATCCAAATTGATGACAGTGTTTTGCTATTTTCTTCCATTGGTTTACAAACTGACTATACGCAAAGTACTGAATTACTTTGTAAAAGATTGGCTTTGAATGAGAAGTATATGCTTTCCATTGCAGTCACTTCAGGCTTACGTGTATGTACACTGATTAACTAGCTGCCTAATCCATAAATGAACAGCTAAACCTAAGGACCAAACCTAAAGACCATAAGGGTTATATATTGATAGTATGCCCTTTATTTTATATACCTATATTAACATATTCTCCTCACAAGAATGAATTTATTTATGTCTTTGTTCACGTGAAACATAAATTCATAAGATAAAAATTATATTATCCAACTATTCAGAAGTCTGCTTTAATTGTACTATCAGGTGTTTCAATTCAGTAAATCGTCACACCTTCATTGATGACTGTCATAAAACTGTCAAACCTACAAGAATTTCGCATATAACATAGTCTGGAAAAATACAGCGTTCAGCAGCCTACTTATGTAATTGAAATGAATGTTTTAGTGTAAGAATGAAAACCACTTATAAACACCCATTGATATTGAGACTAAATGCTTTCTTTTTGTTTAAGTTCAACTTATATACCGCTTATTTTTGAGTAGTGTGTTTCCCCTGTAGTTTGTGTTCAAACGTCAAAATTATGTTTCCTTCGTTTTCTGGTTTCATGATGCTAAAAATGAGTTAGTCATTAATTTGCCTGGTTAATAATACCAATGCAAATTCAGTGGTAAATTCACATCTCTTTCATCTTCTATAAGCCGCTTATTTTTTCTACTCTCTGTGACAATATTTTACTCTTGGATTTTTAATTTATTCATTTGCCTGCTTCAAAGGCATTATATCTGCGTATAAATGACCATACTATAACAATAACTTATACTTTGCGTCAGGATCTTTCATTTCTCCATTAAAAACCTGAGAGCCTTCATATTATTACAAGCCATAGGAATCTCATAAACCAAGGTCTGCAAGTGGGCATATTACTGGCTCACTTAAAATTCAGAAGCACTGAACTTTAACTCTTATGTGCAGTTCCAGAATCCTTTCAGTCGAAGGGTCCTGAAGAGAGACGAAAGAAAGACTTGACGTTTATGGTTTTCGCTTTCCCTCAAACACAATTTGGTTCCCTACGACTAAATGATTTTCCCTAAGGTAATCTGTCCGCTTTAAGATCAGTCTAACTATTTTAATCTCATATATTATATTCGTTCATAGTCTCCTGTCGTCTACACCTATGCCCAAAGACAGTTTTGATGATTGTTACTACTCTTCTTGAAATTAATTCAAACTTCATTATCGTACATTACCCAGATGTAGTCGTACTACATGAGAATCATTATTTTTCACGAGTGTCAAACAGCAGTGGTCAGTCAATATTGTACACATGTAAGTAAACCTCTATTAAATTCCTCACTAGTCCACTTGCTAGCATTCATAGCGTGAAAGTAAGTATGCACCATCATATCACAGCTAGTATAAGCATTTGTACTAAAGAGTAAAACTGTAGCCATACTGCAACCAAGTTTTATTTGTATGATGACATAAACTGAACAGACAGTTCTTTAGATAGTTTGTTATTGTTTCAACTGTCTTTGATCAACTACGTTTTACTTAACATTTCAGAATGGAAGTATCGCTGTATTTTCGACATGCAGTCGACCATGCAACCTACTTTGTATGTGGTCGTCATCTGTGGATAATGTACTTTATTCTGGTCCACTGTTATTTTATCCAGCACATAGTCCAGAATATCTAGAGCTGTTCTTGAACAATGAAGACTGCAACAGTCTCCTTCCTCAAATTATTTTGCTACTTTTAGTTGGACAATCTGATGGCTCTTTAGCTGTAATATGCCCTAAAGAAGGCAATGTAATGAGTAAAGCTCAACACGTCCATCTGACAAAACACCAGGTAAGTAATAACATGCTTTAACGGGTACCACTAGTATATATATATATATATATATATATATATATATATATATATATATATATATATATACAAAACTTAGAAAATAAAGCAGCCTTAGCTATAACACAGTTTCATACATTTTTTTTTGTTAAAAACCTACTTGATTAACCAGTTTCGTCAAACGAATGATTACTACTGTTTGCACATGGTCTTCTGAACGCCTTGAGCAGAAATCTGAGTATGGTATAAGATGAAAACCGGTCTACAGCTATAGTATGCATCGACCGCTTTACTTACTTTGGGAGTTGCGTTCGCTCAGACAGGTCGGTTCCAGAGGCGATCTCACCTCGAATACAGAAAGCCTGTTTCGAACTTGCCAAACTGCATCATCTCTGACGCCATCGATATATCTGACTACCTTTTAAAGGGTGAGTTTACTGCTAGGGGACGTTGGGTGAATTAGAAAGAGGGTTCAGAGTGGCCAAACCGAGATTTCGCACCAGTCGATGATGTCCCTGACTGTCGGTCTGGACAATGTGGCTGGGGTCCCTCCAAAAAAAGGAATCAGTGGTTAAGGACTCTTGATAATATGGCTTAAAGTCATTCACAATAGCCCAAATATATTCATTCTTTGGTGTCTTCATAAGCTTGAAAATGCTCATCAACCTTGATTTTCAAACTCCTCATACCTTACAGGCTTGTCCCTTATGATATCAACCTCTTTTTACTCACGTGACTTTTGCATGCCATCATGAAGTTTGCTTATTTGAACAGGTGCGATCCCACACTGTGTCCTACATAGATTTTGTCTGTTTGTCGATAATTACATTCTGTTAATTTATTTCATTTGTTGAGTATATGCAAAATTTCGAATGCAGTTGGGAATAAAATGAGTTAGGGATTGAAATATTTTTGACTAACAGGCAATGTAGATCACTATGCACAAGAAAAAAGGCGGACTGGCTCCTGGGTGCACACTGTTGAGAACTCCCAATCTAGGACACAACAGCTGTCCAATGCTCCAAGGTTTTCAATGGTTCTCTAACTGATATCAGTACATCATGAATACCAACTTGAAATAATAGATTAAAAAGCCTAATCACTAACATACAATAATCCTTTTTACAAAATTCATTGTTCGATGAATTCACCAGATTTCTCATGCACACATTTAGAAGCCTTCTACTATCTTCAAACAGTAAAAGCAGGAAAGAATGTCGGAACTCCATTTCGACAGTTTCATCAACTGAAGTAAATGGAGAAAGTTTACTAATTCAAGCATTACAAGGATACCATTGAAATGACGAGTTAGTCGAGCCCTTCATGGACTGGTAGGTATCTTCCAACATATGCACAGCATGTCTATAACTGACTCACACAAACCATTTTATCCTTATCGATCCATTTCATAGTGTACTCAGTTCGCTGTTAATATAATATCGGACAATTTGGTGTGCAAGTTTCGTGTTGTAGGTAAACCACAAATCAATGATCTCAAGCCATTACAGAATGAAATATTGATTAGAATGTTTCCTTACAGTTCTTTTATCAGGCTCACTGACCATGTTTTGGATGCCGAGGCTCCATCGTCTTCGAAGTATTGATCAAGAATATATATATATATATATATATATATATATATATATATATATATATATATATATATATATATATATATATATATATAATGATGAAGAAATGACTCTAAAGTATTGATATCAACATTTACTACCGCAAATTCTGATTCAAATCTGTAAATTCGAGTAAATTTTTACTCAATCTTTACTTAGGTTATTTGATCGCAACTAATTTGTTCATTCCCTATATAATTAAGTTTTAATTTAATCCCAGCGTCTTTATTCATTGAATATTTTTTACTTATCAAGAGAACAACAAGATACACTGTGAACAAAAGAAATCCACACAAAACAATATTGGCCCCAGGTAATGCACTATGATTCACAAGAATCAACAAATAATAAATAAATAAGAAATAGAAATTTTTTCGGCTAATTATTTTCAATAGCTGTACATCCGCGTCTGCATAGGAGCCCATATGCCAACAGAAACTGATCAATTCGGTCCAAGCAACGACGGTGTAATACAAGCAATAACACTAAGCCTATACCCGTAGCACAAAAGATGCGTGTCGTGTCTCTGTGGTGTAGTGGGAAGTTCTGGAATTTGAACCGATTGTTGCCGAGTTCGAGTTCCCGATAAAGACAACACCCACTGGGAGGCAGGTGCATCCAGCTGGTAAGTTCCAAATAGGATGAAATGCTCATCCTGGATCCCACTTCTAGCCACTGCCCATTGTTGCTGTACAATAGTATTCACAGTAACAAAGAGATAAGTCTCTTTTCGGCTAAGTCAACATTAAGTAATTAAAACGGAAATTTTTAGGAGGAAACAGTAAATCGTTTCTGGAGGTAGAAAGAGACTGCATAATCTTAGAGTTTATAGGACAAATATGCAGTAGTATGTATGTCGGAAGAACGGAGAGGGGCCTTACTCAACGAATCTCCGAATATGTACCGAAAAGCTTGCCATTGAGAGGTAGAAGGCTACTAAGCAGCGTCAACTGTGAACACCTCCTCGATACAGGTCATGCTGTTGATTCAAATGTCTTTCAAGGTCATCAGGAGACAAAGTAATAGTAGGCTGTAACGTTATGCGGAAGCAGCAGCAATCCTTCGACTGAAAACAAACTTGTGTACAAAAGTAGTTTGTGTTTCACCTTGCATTAGTTTGGCTGAATTGTTCTTTTCCTACTGCTTTACTTGCGATCTTATTCTTTCATTTTATTGTCTTACTCTCAAACATTACCCATGTTAATGACTTGGTTGTGACTAGTAGTGGAATCCAGGATGCAGGTTTTGTCCCATTTGGGACTCATCATTTGAATGTGTGATGTTATTCCCACTGGGACTCGAACTTTGTACTCATCGCTTCAAACGTCAAAGCGTTATCTACTAGACCACTGAAAAGCGATAGCCCCAGTATTCATATTCCCATAATTTTCTACTTACTTTATCCTTATCATGGTTTTCAGCACATCCTTTTCCATTCCTCTAACATTAATCCACACACTTTGCACACCATCTTTGTTATTCTCTTCCTTTTATCGAATTCTTACCACTCCGAGATGTAATCACATTCCTGCACTATCATTACGTCTCATTATTTTTTTAATGTGTTTATTGATCGGTTTTATAGTCTGATTTGTTGTTACTTGTTCGCTGCATTGGTTGATTAGGTCGTGAACTTTGTCATTCATCTCTGCTTTCATAGATGTGTGTTGATATGGGATGTGAAAGAAAGGCCACCGAGTCACGATAGCCACTTCTTGTGCGAGGGTTTAGTTTTAATGTTATTGCTTGTACTATCCCGTCGTTGAGTGGACCGAAATGATTGGCATATGAGCTCCTGTGCAGATGCCTCGATATTGCTTATGATTGAATTTTATATTTACGATGGATAGTGGCTAGCAGGGGAATCCAGGAAGCGCGTTTCGTCCTGAGGCATCCACGCAGGAGCCCATATGCCATTAGAGACCGATCAACTCGGTTCACTCAACAACAGTATAATACAAGCAACAATATTGACAATTATGATTACTAACCGAAGTAAAGTATTACGAGAATCTTGGTAGGAATTTTGACCCACATGAACGTAGCAAAACACCTGATAAGGTAGAAACGATAATGATAACCAGTCGATAAGAGTAAGATGAATATTGAAGCAATGAGTGAAAACAAAGTAGGATTATGACCACGGTGGATAGAGCTTGAGGTTTAGATGTTTGATTGGCAAAGCCTTCACTATAAGTAAGTAACGAATTCGTACACCTTCTGATCCTTTCGGTTTGACTTTGCATACGATTTGAAAGAAGACCTAGCCAGAACTGACCAACTGGTCAGGGATCATACTTTTTTCAAATTGATTTCAGATGATAACAAGTCAAAAATGAAATGATATAATCTTCATCAGCAAATTTTGTTGTTGTTCTTTCATTCGTCAGAGAACAGTTGGAAACCACGTTTTCCATATTTTCATCTAGTAGCTTATTTCATCAACGTATAAAGCAATCTTGATTTGTTCATATCTTTGAAAGACTTTATAGATTTATTCTGATAATTAATATACATTATTGGTAATGATAGCTTTAGGGATTAAACATGACTCGAGTGAACCGATAATATATTTAGGGTAACTTCCATCTCTTCAAATGCATCATTGATTAGTTCTTTGGAAAACGATAAAAACTTCGGCATCCAAAACATGGTCAGTGAGCCTGATAAAAGAACTGTAAGGAAACATTCTAATCAATATTTCATTCTGTAATGGCTTGAGATCATTGATTTGTGGTTTACCTACAACACGAAACTTGCACACCAAATTGTCCGATATTATATTAACAGCGAACTGAGTACACTATGAAATGGATCGATAAGGATAAAATGGTTTGTGTGAGTCAGTTATAGACATGCTGTGCATATGTTGGAAGATACCTACCAGTCCATGAAGGGCTCGACTAACTCGTCATTTCAATGGTATCCTTGTAATGCTTGAATTAGTAAACTTTCTCCATTTACTTCAGTTGATGAAACTGTCGAAATGGAGTTCCGACATTCTTTCCTGCTTTTACTGTTTGAAGATAGTAGAAGGCTTCTAAATGTGTGCATGAGAAATCTGGTGAATTCATCGAACAATGAATTTTGTAAAAAGGATTATTGTATGTTAGTGATTAGCCTTATTCTAATTGATTATTTCTAAAGCCGAGGAAAATAGTGACACTATATTTTACAATAATATATGGATTTGAACAAATCTAAAATGTAATTTTGACTAACTTCACATTTTTGGCTGTCGATAACAAATCTGACAACCACAAGGTAATATCAAAAGGATCACTGATTCAACTTGATCACTTTCTGTACCGAACATGAATATTAACCTGAAAGGTTGCTGTCAAATTTATACTCTTGAACAGGATGTTCTGAGTAACATGGAAGCTTTGTGGAATTATACAAAGTATTTGTTTATTTCGTTAATTATTTTTATATACTACGCCAGGATTACGCAAGTAAAATACGCCCTATACCTTCATCGTTCAGCTAGCAGGAAAAGAGAAAAAACGCAGTAAAGTCTTATCCTTCTAATCAACTCATTTCCATGTGCATAACAATCTGAATTGTCTATCAGGGAAAAGCAGTTCAGTAACTTACCCATTTCACTCCTAATTGGATTTTGTATGTGACCATCAAATTAAATCCATTGAGAGCAGAGTAATTTAGGTAGGCACCCGTTTTGGTGAACGTGTACTATGAATTTGCAGGAATTCATCCCTTCTTCGGTTCAGTGGCTCATCACCTTACTGACATTGGACATGATGCGGACATCTCAACTACTTTAAAAAAGGAATTTAGGCTAAATATACCTAATCAATTTGTACCAATAAGTAGGTAACCATCTAGCTGCTTCATCATGTCTTTTACATACGAATTACCAACCTAGGATTTTAATTTCATTTTGACTGAATTGCACCATATTACCCACTTATGTTATCTTGACCGTTTCTGTCTTCTCAGCGTGTTTCACTCATTAAAGTCAACTACCACCTGCTTCGTATATCTCTGGGCGCGTAACTTGCAATTTTATTCGTGACCGTCTGCACAACTTTACCTATAAGGGTTCGTAAATTTAAAGTATGATCCACTGTTACTCGACCATGGCAGGATTCGAACTACCGACCATCGGGTTTCCTACCAGATTTTTATTTCACTTCAATCAACAAGGGTTTGCCCGACTACCATGTGAATTCGTGACGCGTTACTACCGCTTAATCGTAATCACACTAGCTGCCTAGTCGGGACTTCTCCTCCCAATCCAAATCTGACTGAATCCGAGAGGGGGAGTATCATATTGATCATCATTTTGACCATCTTAGATAGTCACGGTGTGGCAGACCAGTACTGATAGTGGGTGATGGTTGAACGTGAAATGAGAATTCGAACCGCGACAGGACTCCAACCGGGTTTCCGGCTCGATGCTCTACAAACTGAGCTACGGAGTCTGGCTGCTGACCAGATTTTTATTTTATTTCAATCGCCAAGGATTTTTTCTGACTACCATTTGAATTTTAGTCTTTTATCGGGTTTCTATACTGTTCAAATTGTTATTGCAAAATGACCGAATTATGCTACTTAATTCTAAAACTTCTCAGTCTGTCGGTAACTGATAATAAACCGCTAAATGAAAATGAAGCTGTATTCAGTTAGAAATTTATTGCAGTTTATTTGCTTTCCAGGTAGCTATTATAATGGATTGACTTCAGATGAAGAAATTTTGAAAATTAGGAAACAGTGAATTATTGTTTGTTTCTATCTCAAGGGTCTTCACACCGCTGTTCACCCACAAAGTTATATGGGACGGGGTCAAGCTATGCAGTCACGAAGTTACTATCCAGTTGACAGATGTTTTCCTACTCCTGTCAATCTGTGACTAAACCTGTATACTTGGGGAGTATCTTCAGTGGTATAACGTTCTTTCTCCTAGTTGCGTAATCATTTATACTCTGTAGTGTGAACATGGAATTCAGAAAACAGTTATTAGGTGAAAACTGTATTCTCCAATTCAGTCTCTGAGGTTATTGCCTAATAGTTAGAGTGCTACCAACCTGTTAAGAATGATAAAACGTTTTTTGGTTCAGAATCTAGACACTAACATTTGCACATTTGTCCTCGTAGATAGTCAACAGTAAATGAAATGTTTAATTATCGAAAATTATTGAACTAGTTTCGGTAATAAAATTTCAGCAGTGACAAAGAATTTTGGGTTATCATAAGTTGACATCAATTCAGCATGTATGAGACATTCACCTAGACATCAACAGCTGACTGAACAAAACATCTGTTCAATCTTTTCTGTCTGTTATACAGGTGTTAAAAGCAAAACGCATGAAATGATGTGAATAAATGATCCACTACAACTTGAAAACGTTGCTAATGTATTGTAAGAATCCTGATTACTAAACAGCCATCAGATAATAGATTAAGGAAGCAAATGAAAGAAACCTATTCCTCATATCCCTACACGTATGATGTTGAGTAAAGTTGTATAATGTTGGAAGAAACATCAGGATGAGATAATTAAGATATCAAGTCAATTCATTGAATCGATTATAAATTTTGCTACATCTTAAATCTTTTCATTTAGTTTGATGACGTCACTTTTTCTTTCAGCTTGTTTGTTTTGCATTGAGAAAATATGTTAGCGGAACGGAGTTTTTGAATAATATTTTCGAATTGTTAACCAAGACTTCAGCATCGAAGATCTATTAGAGTAATATGCACACTTTAATGGCTAATGAAGACGCAGAGGTTAGAAAGAGTACTCATAAAGATAAGCATTCAGTTTAAATCAATTGTAAACGTTGAAATGCTTAGAAGCTAAACTGAAAATTGTTTCCAACGTTGCTAGGTAAATGTTAGTGTGCCTAATTATACGTTCAGTGTGGCAAAAGAATCGAAGTGAGTTATTACTAAAAATGAATAGTTAATTGCTGGTTCAGCCCGATACTGAACGACATGAACTTTGATATTGATAATTTATATCCTTTCAAGTGGGTGTGAGTGGAACACAGAAGAAAGAAACTTCAAGTCACAGTGGTCGAAATTATGCTTTTTTTAGTTTGACCATTTGTGATAGCCGTGGCTTGGCAGACTTGTATTATTGAAATTGAGTGATGAAGTTAAGATCTAACCTGTTCCTGGACGTTGCAACTCGGTGGGTAGAGCACCGGCTCAGAAAGCAGGTAGGCCGCTTGATCGGGTCATTCGGTGACCCAGACTACATCAGTTCATATAACTGATTAGGATATTAACACCTGAGTTCTGACACCTATCAGAAACCCCGATGCGTAAAGTTTTTACCCGCTACGGAGGATTGCTAAAAGTGGACTAAACGTTTGTTCAGTAACTCTTGATCGTTTCTGATGGTTGCTCAAATTACCTCAAGGCATGTTGAAGATGACACCGAATTCTGTATTTCAGCTAGTTTCAAGAGGATTTTACTCTTCCCCAGTTTTAAAGAAACAATTTAGGTTTCACTGACAAAAAAGAAAATTCAGAACATATTTCTTTTACAGGCTAAAAGTTATACTACTTACAAATGGTAAGTAACATAAATTATAAAAATATTTTCTAGCTGGTAGTGAGTTACTCATGTGTAGAAAAGAAAACGAAATGTCTTTTATTAGGCTCATACGTCTATGACAGTAGGGATAATATCCAACTATCCATAGAAAAGTATGCACTTCTGAGCGCCAAATGGTTTTGATTTCATTCTACTTTACCACAATTTCTTTGCTATAAACAAAATTTTCACAAAGGACTGAAATTCAGCGATGGTATTGAGATAATTGACACGTGTTCAGAACTTCAGTTACGCTTAGATTAGTAGTGTAGCATTCTAAGTGATTTTGAGTAAATGAAACTAACATGGGAGAAAAGTGTACCAACTTTTGATGTCTTTAGATCAGAATAACATCATCTGTTTTTAAAAACACAACATATGTCCTCATTTTGTTACTTAATTTGCTGTTTAGGTAGTATTTCAGAATCCAAAAGCAAACCATTGATATCATCAATCAAATCGAATCCAAAAGCTGGAAGACTGTACACTATCACTCAAGATGGGACATTAAAAGTATGGCAGTTGATAAAACCATTACCAATTATTGTTCAAAAGCACAGGTTGGAAACCATTGACAATAGAAAAGCAAACTTACGTCCACATTTTACACACTTCCCATTTAAAGTTGTTAATAATGCTGATATTTACTGCATTTATACTGCTAAAGATCAGCTACTATCTGAAAGTTGTAGTAATAGTTCTACCTTGTCTACAGATGAATGTTATTACACTTCAGTATGTGCAGAAGTCAATGATCCTTCGGATCACTATTACTTTTTCAGTTGTAAAACAATGCGTTATTTAAATCCTGCCTATTTAGATCGCCTGAACGTGACATCTATAAAAGACGTTTGCGTCGGAATGAGTAACAAATATTCCTTTAATACATATTCTCATCAATCACCCATGATTGAACAGATATTTTTAACAATAACTGTTGATTCCATTGAGCAAGAAAATCTTTATCTTAAAGTGTGGCGGACATTATTTGAATATATGGGAGATAAGAGTAATCGTAATCTTAAAAATTTCACTATTCTCAAACCAACACTATTAACAGCATTGGAAAATACAGTGGTGCCGACAAGAATTGAAGATACCTCTGCTGTTGGCTGGAAATGTAATGTGCAGCTAATGAATACCCTAAGGCTTCCATTTCCTACGGATCAAGAGCTGGTCAGGCTATCTGCAGAGTTATCAGTCTTCAGTCGAATGGTGATGTTCTGTTGACGATAAATAACTTTATCTATCTATTTGACTATAAAACACTAATGAACAGATACCTTGGGAGAAAACAAATTTTATGAACCGACTTCTAGAAAATAAGATAACTTCTAATATAATGCGAAATGTGGTAAGAGAGAGAGAGTGGAATACAGATAAACTGAAGCAAATGAATCCTATACATTTGTCTCTGGTAAGTTTTTTTAAGTTAGTAGTAAATGGCAAGTTTTAATGGTGACTTCAAAAAATGACCAATGATTTACTTAATTATCTGAAGCTCATCTTTAAGAGCACTAATATCGGACTGTATTATGTTTGACGCCGTTAACCACGTAATTCGATTTTAACTAGTTTATGCTATTATATTCATTTTTGGTGACTAGCATTGGAATCCAGGACGTGCGTTTCATCCTACTTAGGAATCGTTAGCAGGATATACCTCCACCCCAGTGAGTGATGTTTCCCGCACTTAGACTCGAACCTAATACTCATCCACTAGTTTATGCTATCTCATTCCGTTGTAAATCAACCTACCAGTCAGTCATGAAGGCATAGATAATAGAGAAACACAATAAAATCAACGAAAACTCTGTTCGACTAACCTGAACAATTGATCACACTGCGAATACTACAAGTAATGAAGGGATAGGTTGAAATCCAACTAGTAATCACTTATATATAGGAGTAAAACTTGGGCTTTGTGGTAGATAGCAGTTTCTTTTAGTCTGTTTATTAGAAATGTCACACAATGAAACAGTATCATTCATTGGATAACGTTTTGGACATAACTTATTGTCCATATTTTTATCAAGTAACTCAACAACTTGAGATAGTCCATATAATTCTAATATTTCCCTCCTTCTTTGTAAAAAGGTTAGTAGAATTTTCGATATATGGATTTTCTATATGAATTCGGATAATAGATTATGTCCAAAACATTATCCAGTAAATGATACTATGTCACTGTATGACATTTCTGATAAAAAAAACTAAAATGTTAACCACGTGTGTCTTTTGAGCCGTATGCGTGTCTACGCCAACGTGTTTACCGCTGTTAATACCTTATGCTTCTGTTACCAAACGACATATTTAAGTACATAAACGCTCATGTGAATTACCGCACTCAAACATTCTGTTGTAAATTATCAATCAGTTATCGTAGAATATTGTTTTTTATTCGATTGCTGAAATAATCATTCTTGTAATTAGGCTTGCAGAGTTTATATTGACACTTTTCAACAAGTAGTAATTATTTTACATTCTGACTTCTTTGGGATATTGTCAAATGATGATTGAATTCTTTCACAATCTCGTTTTTAATCAAACCAGTTATCCAATAAAATTTGTGGTATGTTTAACACCAAGTATATTAATTTTTAAGTTGTACTAACAGTATGACACACTTTGATACAACCATAATTTTTGTCATATAACTGATGTTACTTTTTTTTTAAATTATAATGTTTCAGATGTCAAATACTATTTTATTGTTCCGCCTCATATCAGTCACTTGTTAATTAAAACACAGTAACTGTTTTCATTTTCAAGTGACTTATACCTGCTGATTAGTAAAAGTATATATTCGTATCTGGATAATGTGAAAATATAAGTATTGGCACAGGTATTTTGAAATCTTCTGTTGGTAGTATAAACATGATTTATCATGCATTCAAAGTTTCAGAAAAACTTATTCCAAATGATAATTAACGTAAAATATTTCATTGCAAGACAAATATATTGAGACATGCTGGTTCATGGTGTTATGAACCGGCTACCACTGTGGTTACCAGTGCAAATCTATAATTTCTTACTTAAAAACTTTTTATTCAGGGGAGTAAAAACATACTGTTGGAAACCTCAAAGTGGTCAAACAAAACTGCAGGACCAAGTCATGCAGTCCTGAACTGTGTAGAACAGCAGGACGGCTAGTTGTTCCCTTTGAAACTGTAAGAATCAGGGGCTATATATAGAGACAGAAAAGCGTAAAACCTTTTACAGGATTATATCAGCTCAGGTTGCCAAGCTTCGAAATAGAGTGAAAACAAGAAGTGAGCGGAGATAGATTAGTATCAAAATATCAAAAAGTGCATGACAAAAGAGAATAAATCAATAAAAGTGTTCAGAACTTCAGAAGCAGACAGAAAAGATCAACATAGGACTTCGATAAGAAAGTTTATTTTTCGCGAAATAGGTCCGACAAGCAAACAAAAAGTTTGGAGATTAATACCATGCCTTGCTTTTTTCAACCTGATCCTACTGTAACTGGAATAATACATCGAAAAAATGGGTGACTTAGAGATAAGTCCTGCCTCAGCGTGGGAAGGTCGAAAATCTCACAAACCTACTTTTCTTCTTAAACGCTTAGTCTCAACGTATGAAACCTTATAGTTTCACAACAAGAAAACAACACTTAACAGTGATCTATGACCAAAAGACTGTTTGTTACGTCATATTAGTGTCTCATAGTAAGATCAAACGAAGTGGTGACCAGCACATCTATCTTTTAAGAGGTATCTGTGCTTGTCTCTGGACACACAAGAGCGAAACAACTCATTTTTATGCGTGCTGAGATTTTTCAATAATCATGTGCTTTAACTGAGTGTCAGTGAAAATAATCACAGCTCACCATCTTACATTTAACAGGTGCAGAAAATACAAAACACAAATTTTTGTCCATGATATTCTGAAGACTGCTCTTCTTCATCATCTTTGTCAAATATGATGTCTGTGTACTACACGTGGGCTAACTGCTCTTTAATTTGGAATGGGTTTACATATAGTGTCAGTCTTTTCTTACCTTGGATAAAGTAAGAAGGAGGAAATTCGCAGAATAAAATAATATCATTTTGTTTCACGAGTACTCTTCAGCTGCACACAGGCTAAAAGCTCAGTGGTTATTAGGACATTAGATATTTTACAATAAGTAAATCATTAGTCTTAATATGTACAACAAAATCATTGATAATCCATATAACGCAAGAGAATTAATTGAACAGATGGGTTAGAAATGTAAGGAAGGAGAATAAGAATTAGAATGAAAATGGAACAGGATCAAATCATATTCACCAAAAAAGTCAGAGATTAACCACACTCTCCTTCTGTATGCAAAGGTCACGTTGAAAGTGTTGTATTGCAATCGCTTTAGCGAAACTCAGTAATTCATAGATTTTCTGTACGTTTATTATTCAAAAAGCACTCCCTATTTCAACCTGATGTCCTATGTCTACCAGATGACTAGCGATAGCACTGATTAGAATTTTACTTCCTTTCAAGCACGGATTTTTGAGATATGCTGAGCGAACCGCATAGATTGCCTGTCCTTCCAGTGTACTTGCCATCACAAGTACATGTGAATTATATAAATACCGTTGGAGTTGACATGAACAGGGTAATTATCCAGTTTTAACTAGTTCAGCGAGTATGTGATAATATGTACTGATACACGTTTAGTTGCAGGAAAGTTCCTTCTCAGTGTTCCCTTGATTCTTGAGTCTATTCACTAAGACAGTTGGGTGTTTATTTCTCTCTATCTTTTCTTTGCCTTACTTTATAATAAATATCTCATTCTCTCAGAGACACTTCTCAATAAATTTTAGTTAATCCTATAACTTGTTAGCAGAACATAATTTCCTTGCTCTATTGTGAAGTTTTTTGATTAGTCTACGCTTATAGATGGAAGTATGCAAACTGCGATAGTTAAGGTATTGTCCACTCCATAAGTCTTTTCTATAGATGGTCTTTTCAAGCTTACAATCAGTTCTTCTTCTGATATTGAAATCCAAAAAACTGAGCTTGTTTTCATGTTAGTATTCCGTCGTAAATTTTATGTTTGCATGAGCCTCGTTGAGCTTGTCCAACCATTCTCTTTCATGTTTTATATAATTACAAACAACAAAGGTGTCGTCAACGTACCTGCGGTAAAAGGTTATTCCTCTGATGACTGAACTCCAGTGCCCTTCTAGGTTACACAAATCACCTATTCATGTTGTCTAGTCCTAACTGCAAATCAAATCGTAATGATCATTTTAAATAGTCAATGGGCTAAGAGACTAACCAATGAAACACACTACATTCGATTTTAAGTGAGTAAAAGCAATCAGCAAGCATCTTTAGACTTAGTTTTCCTTCTTGTTATGACTTTTCGTTACCTTGTATCTACAGCCCTGAAAAAAATTTCTATCACCTAAAAGACACGAGGCAAAACCATCCGATTTTGTTGTC